AGATCCACGCGAATGTAAGTTGCACGAGTGTTCACACATCCCCCTGCCTTTTCTTAACAGTTAGGTTGGATGCAAAGCATCACTGAGGGTGTTCACGTATCAGGCGGGGCGGGGTAGGCCATCACGTGACCTCGTCCTCAGGCCCTGCACGTATCTTGTTTGATCTCGGTCACGCTGAGCTGCTCAGGGCGAGATCCACGCGAACGTAAGTTGCACGAGTGTTCACACATCCCCCTGCCTTTTCTTAAAATTTGGGACACAGTTTACATACTACAAAATTGGCCAAAATGTGTTTTCAGAATTTACAAGTTTGTACAATGATCACGACTATCTAATCCCACAACACTTTTTTCATACTAAAAAGAACCCCTCCCCCAACTCCTTGTCTCTCTTTCTCCATCCCCCTCCCCCAGCCCCTGACCACGAATCCACTTTTTGTCTCTGGGTTTGCCTGTTCTGGACATTTCATGTAAATGGAAACACACTATGTGGCCTTTTGTGTCTGGTGTCTTTAACTGAGCATCACTTTTCAAGGTTCATCTGCGTTGTGTGTGTCAGAGCTTCAGTCCTTTTCATGGCTGAATAATGTTCCATTGTGTGGAGAAACGGTGTTTTATTTATCTGTTCATCTGTTGATGGACATCCAATTGTTTCCATGTTTTGACTCAGGAATAATACTGTGAACAGTCATGTACACGTTTTCTTTTGGACATAGTTTTTAATGCTCTGGGAGACTGGGTCACATGGCAATTCTATGTGTAACCTTTTAAGAAACCACCAGGCTGTTTTCCAAAGTGACTGCACCATGTTACATTCCCGCCCGTGGAGTGTGAAGGTTCCGGCTCCTCCACGCACTGGTTATTATCTGTCACCCTGTGGCAGGAAGTGGTACCCTGTTCTTACCAAAGACACCAGAGGGACCACCGTCTCCACAGTTCATAGTCCTCCAGGGATCGCCCTGAGCGGAGCAGAGTCTCGCAGTGACCAGCAGGGTCCCTTCTCCCCCTTGCCTTAGGATCTTTGCACTGGCCACTCCGTCTGCCAGGAATGCTCTCCCTCCAGGACCCACACGGCTCCCTCCCTCACCTTCTTGTCCCTTCCTTGTCTCTGCGTGTACTTACAATTTGCTTGTTTCGTGTCTCACCACATGGAAAGTTAGCGCACGATGCAGCACCCAGAAGTGCCCAGTGAATGGCCACTAGTCAGTGCCCCATGCAGTTCCAGGGACGGCCACCTGATGGCTTCTGGGGAGGCCTGTGGCAGTTTTCATGATCATGTTCCTCCACAGACTGTGAAATTCCCCCAGTTTACCTAGAGGCTGCAGGCCCAGGGAGGGTAGCTGCGGGGGTTCCAGGGAGAGAGCTGCACACACAGAGCTTTGTATCCCTGCTCTGGGTCTTTCTTGGGTTCAGGCACTTCCCCCCACCTCTCCATGCCGGGACTCAGAACCCCGGGAGAGGCCGCCAAGTGCAGCCTTCTTCCTGGGCCAGTCCCAAGGGAGACTCCTATGTGGCTCCCCAGAGAGCAGGGGCCAGAGACAACCTGTCCTTGGGGCTGCACAGAAGCCACATGTGTGGGGTTGGGGAGAGTTGAGAGCCACTTCCAGGATTGTGTGTCAGGCAGCTGCACACCTGTCACCTCATTTAACTGTCTCCACGACAGGTGGAGTAATGGCCTGAGGACAGTGGGAACCCTTGAGAACGCTCTCCCCGGCCTCCCCTCACTGCTGGAAGTCTCAGAGATCTGGGAGGATCTGACGGCCCAGACCTGTGTGTGTGGAGTTCTCCAAACTAAAAGGGCACGAGAGTAATTCACAGCGCTGTATACACAGCCATTCTGTGTTCTTCCCGACACAGGGCCTCTTTAAGACACTTTGACCACATGTCATGATTGGTGTGTGAGCTGCTGAGGGTGCGCTGCAGACAGCCCCTGCCAGCTCACAACAGTTGGCTTGTAAACTTTCAGGAACTCTGCGAACTGGTTATTAGACCACTAGTAGCTTGATATCAGCTACGGCAGGAGAATTGACACCAAGGAAATTGGCAAATGCTACATCAGGTCCCCACCCCTGACAAAACCAGTTGTCAGGCCTCTCCAGCATACCAGGGGTCATAACCTCTGGGAAGACGTGCGCCACACCCTAGAAGTCTGTCTGACACGGAGCAGGTGCAGAGGGGAGGTTTGCACCTGGCACGCAGCTGTGGTTCAGGTGGCCGCTCGTGGTAAAGTGGCCTGCGTTTCCCGGCCTCGCTTCCCTCTGGAGCAAGCATCCGGGAGCTGCAGCACACGCACTTGGACCACGGGGTCTGGGGGGCCAATGGTGGAAGGGCAGGGCCCCCACCTGCTTAGACTTTGGCACCGGAAGGAGCCGGGCCAGCCACCCAAGGGAAGCAGTCACCACCCTTCCCCTCATGGCCCCAGAGGAAGCGTGGGTTTGGGTCTGGGGTCTGCAGGTCTCCCTCTGGTTGCCATCATAACACCTCTTGGCCAGGACTCTCTCCTGGTGCAGATGTGGCTGAAATTCACCCTGCCGGGGCCTGTGTGTAGGACAAGTGTATTGGTGGGGGGACGGGGCATGTGCCCCACGATGCCCTCACACGCCAGCCTCCAGCTCCTCCTGTGGCCTCCAGAGCTGCTGAAACTGCCCAACGTCAACACCCAGGTTCTATCTTCTAATCCAGGGACCTGTGGTGCAGGGACAGGAGCCTGCTCTTCTGAGCTGAGTCGGAGGAGCCAGACGTCTCTGGGGTTAGAGCAGTTTCAATCCCACCCAGCTTGCCCATCTGCCTCTCTGGCCCAAGGGTGGGTGGGTGTCAGGATCGGTGAGTGCTGGGAGCCTGGCACAACTTTGTGGTTGCTCTTTCTCAGAGCCTTGCCAGGTCTCCCTCTGGGAGGCCACAGGGAAGCCAGCTGCTAACCACAGGGGGACAGAGTCCGGAGCCAGCAACCTGGGGTGGGAAAGGGTGGTCTCCACAGGATGTCTTTTCACCCAGCCTCAGCCCGGTCCAAGAGGTCCTTTTCTTGCAAGCGGCTCTCCCACTTGGGGTCTCTGAATGGGTGCGACTCAACAACAAGGACTGCGTGAGTCACTAGTGCCGTTTTTTAACAGATTTATTGAGATAAAATTCACAAACCCAGCAATTCACCCGTGACATGTGCAATACACAGACCAGGCATCCATCAGCACAGTCAATTTTAGAACATTTTCATCACTCCAAAAAGAAACCCTGCCACCCCCAATCCCCCATACGCCCATCCTCTGCAAGCACTAACCTGCTTTCTGTCTCTATGGATTTGCCTGTTCTGGACATTTCACATGAATGGAATCATCCAATATGTGGTCTTTGTGTTGGTTTCTGTCACTCAGCATCATGTTTTCAAGGTCCACCCATATTGTAGCCCATGTCAGTGCTTCTTTCCTTTTCCTGGCTACATAATATTTCACTGTACAGATGAAACACGCTGTGCTAGTCTTCCCCAGTGAATGGTCACCTGGCTGTTCCCACCTTTGGCCCCTATGAATCATGGTGCTATGGACATTGGTGTGCATGCTTTTATGTGGACACAGATTTTCAATTTTCTTGGGTTTATACCCAGCCGTGAAATTGTTGAGTAATTCTAAATTTTCTAGTAGTCACATTTAAAAAGTAAAAAGAAACAGATAAAACTAATTTTTGCAATATATTTTACTTAACCTAATATATACAAAATAGTATCACTTCAACACGGAGTCAATATAAAAATTATTAATGAGGTAGTTTACATTTTTTTGGTAGTAAACCTTTGAAACCTGGTGTATGTTTGTATTCAATTTAGATGCTTAATTTTCATCAGAAATATTTGATCTATATTTAGGTTTCATAAAATGCTCAGTTGAAAAGTGAATTTATGTACTCAAATTGTTCCAGATATACTTAAAAGTATTCCAATAACTGAATGGCAGCTTTTAAATTTAAATTTAAATGAGTTAGAAGCAAATAAAATGAGGAAATCCAGTTCCTCAGATGCACTGACCATGTTTCAAGAGCTCATAGCCATGTGGGGTGATGAATTCCTCTCCTGGGTGGGCCTTAGGGTGGGCAGAACACACAGCCAGTGTGAGGTCCCAGCTGGAACCCCTCCCAGCTCCTCATCCAGCCCTGATAGGAAAGGAGTCGTGGCCAGGAGCTGGGGGGCCTGTGGACATGCCTCCTTGCACTGGAAGTCCCAGGACAGACATGGCCCTGGGAACAGGAAGAGCCAGGGATTCATTACCTCCTGTGCAGCTGTAACAAAGTCCCACAGATGGGGACTTAACAGAAATCTATTTTTCCCCAGTTCTGGAGGCTGAAACTCTGAAACTCTGCACGCACTGAACTCCTGACATTTGCAAAGGGTTCCAGGATCAGAACCACTACTCTGTGGTGGCCTTGGCCCAGGCCCACTGCAGGGACGTGGCACCTGTTTCTGTGACAAAATCAAAGTGGGGAGGGGCGAGGACACTGCTGCGCTTGGGGCATGGTCTCCTTGGCTGGAGGTCTGCTTGATGCCCCGTTGGTCTTCTGTGCCAAGCAGCTGTGGCTGAAGCCTGGGGATGAGAAAACACACCCAGTTCTCCAGGATGTGAAGCTGAGATGGAAGGGCTTGTCAGGGAAGAGGAGGCGGGGACAGGGACGACCCCAGACTGGGCCCATCAGCCCTGCTTTGGGGGACCCCACTCATTAGCCCCCAGCACAGGAGCCCCCACTTCCTCTGGACCCCTGAGGTCAGAGCCTGGGGGCCGGGGGGCTCTCACGTGGCTGTCCCTGGAGGAACTTAGCCCACGAAGTCTTTTCCCCGTCCCCCCAAAGGACAATCTAATAAGAAATAAAGCAACAGGAAAGGTTAGTTTCCTGTTTTTTTGAGATGCGATCTCTCAATGCTGATGCTCCCTGGAGGTGCCATTGGCGCGGTGCCCATACCTCTGAAAGTGCTTTATGGCTTTAATAACGTGGCCGTAGGTGTCGCCACGGAAGACGAACGTTTGCAGCTGGAGGAGGCGGCCACAGCTTCGGCAGAGCCGCCTGGTCCAGTTCGTCCTGGGGTTCCATCCGCCGTCTTCTTGAAGGCCCCTGTTGCAGCTGGACAACGAAGCAACTGCAGGGTCACAGCCCCCACAGCAGCGGCAGAGGGAGCCCGTGTCACCAGAGAGGTTTTCCTCAGAGCCTGGAGGATAAAAACGGAGGAAGAAGCCAGGCAGCACTTTCTGATTCCTGACTGTGGAGGGGACACGGCACAGAGTGAGGTGCTTTAGTGGACGCTGAGGGGTGAGGGTGGACAGGGACACAGAGAGAGAGACAGAGACAGACACAGAGAGACAGAGACAGAGACAGAGACAGAAAGAGAACGGAAATCCAAAAGTTTGGTTTTTTTGCAAAAAGATTACAAAACAGACAAAATAGATGAGTCTGATTGACAAAAGAGGAAATACCAATAAGCATTGGAAATGTAACAAAATCACAGATAAAAGAATAGGTTTTATTAATTTTTTTCCAAATTCTAGTTTTTTATTAGCATACTTTTGATATTAATGCCTAATTTTTAGGAAAAAAATAATTTTTCAATTTTTTAAAAAATAAAACACATCTTTTATATAAGCTTTACTTACCAAAAACTTGTCTTAAATTTCTCACAAAAAAGTGATTTTAATGATCATATTAATAATAATAATAATAATATTTATTTATTTATTTATTTAAAAGATGACCGGTAAGGGGATCTTAACCCTTGACTTGCTGTTGTCAGCACCACGCTCTCCCAAGTGAGCCACGGGCTGGCCCTAGAATTATTTTTAAATTAAAACTTTTTTATCTTAACATTTACTTGTACAATTTTGTGGGGTACAGTGTGTTGTTTCAATACATGCACATACTGCACAGTGACTCGGGGTAGACAGCACAGTTTTGTGCCGTGAGGCCACCACTTCTCGTACAAGGGTTTTAAGAATTACAAGAAGAGCATTGCAGCGTACTTACTTCTGCTAATGCATTTAAATATTTTGGAAAGCAGATCGTTTCCCAGGAAGCTATAAATTGCTCAGATTGTCTCTAAAACCAGGTAGTAACGCTAAAGGGTCTGGCTACCTCTGAAAATTAAAGAACCAGTGGCTGGGACTGGAAATGGGCCCTGTGCTGTGGTGGGTGTGCTGGGCTTCCCGCCTCACAAGCGTGCCCAGAGCACAGAAGAGGGTGCACGACTTTCAAAACCTCCCTGGAAGGGGCATTTTTGTGGTGTCAACACCAGACCTGGAGAGCACAAAACGGACATGCCATAGGCCAATCTCACATGCACGTATGCAAAGTCCCTAAAAGATGCAAGCCAGATTCAGGTCCATGCAGGCTTGGGAGAACTAAGTCTCAACGTTCCCACTCAGGATTAAGAGAAGTGTAATAAAATTTGGTTAAAGGGGTCAAGTGTGCAACTTCAAAAAATAGCTTTTAAACTAAGGGCGCCTAAATCGAGGCTGTGATTGAAATGCGTGAGTGGACTGCACTTTGCTGAGAGCAGACGTGAATAATTTCATAAAACTTTAAGGGATGAATGGAGAGATGGGTTGACACTGGAAGATCTGTTTATATAGTTGGCAATAGCAGCAGACGGAAGGAAAAAAACCACAGATCAACTCCATAGATATTGAAAATGTCATAACATGAAACATCCATGCCTGACTTGAGTTAAAAAGTAAACTAGAATGGCAGAAAGCCTAGTAATCAAGTATCAAACCATTCACCATATACTTACGGCAATCATTGTACTTAATTGGGAACATCGAATCAGTCCCTATCAAAAGCAGGAGCAAAGAGAAACGTGCAGTCCCTCCAGGACTCACCGTCATCCCGGAGTTCCCGGCCAGAGCAGCGACACAAGGAAACACAGCGGGGTGTAAACACTGCTGCTGTTTGAAGATTATTCCATGGTCTGCCTAGAAATAAGAGAATCACCTGAAAACCGGTTGGCACTTGGAAGAGGGTTCGGTAGCTCTACCAGTCAGGATACAATGTATGTAATCAGCAAGCCCGGACTCTCAGGGGCTCACCTCTCACCGCGCTCCGTAGGGGCTGATTGGATTCTCTGCTCCGTTCCCTCATCCAGAGCCAGACTGACAGAGTAGCCACCCTTGGAATATCCCTGGTGGCTTTGGCAGAGAAAATGAGAGGCTCTGGAGGATACCGCACCAGCAACGATATGCTCCAGCTCAGAAGCAATCACTTCTCCTTAATAACTGATTGACCAGAACGAGTCACGGAGCCCAGCCGACCATAAAGGGCCGGGAAGTGCCACTCCACAGTGCGCCTGGCAGCGTGAAGAGCTGGAAACACCCAGCAAATAGCATGAGTGGCTCCCAAAGTCAAGGAGCAAGATACAATCAGGCAGGTATATAAAAACCAGGAGCTGTTCTGTACAATGATAATAGCCAGTGAGAACACACAACCTCATTAAAAGTATAAAACACATAAACATAACAAGAATCTCCAAGACTTAAATGAAGAAAATTAAAGCCATTAGCAAACGACAGAAAAGGAAACCTAAATAAACGGTGAGCGTCGTGTGGTGGAACCCATACCGTGAAATGTTCCTCCCCAAATTAATCATAAATCTAGCGCTATCCCAACATTAAGATCACAGCAAAAAAATGTAACAAGCTAATTCTAAAGCTCATATGAAGAGAAAAATCTGCAAAAACAGCCATGAACTTCGTGCTGCCTAATTTCCCCACCGTCTTCCTGGGCGCGCAGTTCTGTGTCCTGTGGGAACAGTTCCTCTTCCAGCCACCAGGCGGCAGTCGCCTGGAACGTCTCTTTTCAGTTCTTATTGGTTTACATTCTTATTTTGCTTAAATGTTTCCTCTAGTTCTTTCCAAGGAAAAGATGCAGAGAATAAACCTGTGTCTAATCCTTGCTCTCCTGACAATGTCTTTATTCGTATTTGGATTGCTATTTGGCTAGGATTTTTTTTTTTTTAAATCTCACTTCTTTAAAATGTTCCCACTTCCATTTAGTTTTCTTTTTTCCTAAAAATTCTATTCGTCGGATGATGGACATCTGGGAAACGTTCTGTAAGTCTCTCACCTTTTCTCAATTTTCAAAAAAAAATTTATTTTGTTTACTCTTTCCCCAATGTAAACTTCACAAGAGCAGGGATTTTTGTTATTAGGTATCCTGGGACTTCATAACATAACATCCTAAGGGTTCAATAAGTGTTTGGTAATGAGTGAACGTTGGGTGGGTGAGGCCTGGGTGGGCTGCATCAACAGCCCCCATTGCAGCGACTCCTCGTCACACCCCCCAGGAAGTGCTGCTCACATTGTTACCCTGTTTTACAGATGAGGTAACAGAGGCTCAGAGAGGTTGAGCCATAGCGAGTAAGATGTGGGGACAGGATTGGAATCCAGGTCTCTGGCTTCAGGGCTGTGTGCTTTTCTCCCAAGCACATAACACCAGGAGAGTCCTGTCTCCAAGGCAGGCTGCAAGTGAGATCAGGTGGGGAGGGACTCTGTTTTGTGTTGATCTGTGCCCCACAACAGGTCTTAGGAGATCTTGGTGGTGAACAGGGCCCTAGAATAGGACCCAGCACATAGTAGGTTCTCAATAAACATCTGGATGGATGGATGGGCAGACAGATGAATGGTTGGGTAGATGGATATAGATGGATGGATGGATGGATGAAAAGGTGATAAATGGATGAATAGGTGGATTTGCAAATAATGAATGAATGGACAGATGTGTGGATGGATGGATGGATGGACAGATGGGTGGATGTGAATGAATGAATGGGCAATTGGATACGGATGGATGGATGACAGATAGATAGATGAATGAATGGGTGGATGGGTGGATGGGTGGACGGGTGGATGATGAATGTGTGGACGGATGTGTGGACGGATGGATGGGCAGATGGACAGATAGATGATGGATGGAGGGACAGGTGAATGGATGAAAAGTGGATGGACAGGTGCATATGGATGGATGGATGGGTCGATGACTGTGTGGATAGACAATGGGTGGGGGGCTGGCAGATGAGTGAATGGATAGACGGACAGATGGACAGACAGAAGGATGGACAGGAGCATGCATGGTGGATGGTGCAGAACCAAGCCTGAGAGGAGAAAAGGTGCCGGCCCAGCCTTCCCTGCTGCCCCGAGAAGCACAGCACAGGGGCCACAGCCTCTCCTGTGTAACGGTGGCATAGCCTGTGGTTTGGCTCCGACAGCAGGAGCGCTGTGGGCACTGCCCTGAGGCAAGGGGCAGGCCCAGGTACGGGTGGGGGCATGAGGCAGGAGCGTGGGTGGGGGCTGGCACACCCACCTGCCCCAGAGAGAGATGGACACTCAGGAGCTTCCAGCCACAAGTGGCCAGAAACTTTGGTTTGTGTTTGTTTTCAAGTTTCTGTCCCCAAGGGAGCTTCCCAGAAAGGGAGACCATGGGGCTGCTTCCTGAGGGAGCAGAGCGGCTGGGGCTAGGGGGCAGGAGGAGCGACGCCAACCAGAGATAATGCCCGGATCTTGGTACTGCAACCTCACCAGCTCCAGTGCCACCAGTGGGAATGCGCTGGGAGGTGGGGACTGGAACGGGTCCCTTCTGCCCCACTGGGGGCCCTAGAGACCAATCCCAGGACTCCTCCCAATCCCTCAGGAGGGAGCAGCACAAAGGGGGGCCCACAGATGGGAGAGAGACAGAGAGAAAGAGATGCTGAGAGAGGCGGAGGTAGCCCGGATGGTGTCACCCACTGTGGGGGGACAGTTAGGGCCAGTTCTGAGCCCCATCCCATCCTGGGAGGAGACCACCCAAACCAGAAAGAACCCGGCACATCCAGATCCCAGATCAGGGTACAGCAGGGGGCAGCACCTCCCAGCAGGGGGTAGGGCGGGAGTTGGGGTGGCAGCGGGTGGGGGAGGCCCCACTGGGGTCAGCAGGGGCGAAGGCAGCTGAGCAGAGATGAACTCAGTCCCATGAGACCTCAACAGGTGAGGACCTCCAGAGGTCAGGCTGGCCCAGGGGCAGCACACTGCTGAAGGGCGAGGTGCTGCACTGGAACTGGGGCACCTGATCCCACATGGGGCCACTGGCTGCCAGCAGGCTCAGGGCCTTGGCCAGTGACATGCTGGTCACCTTCAGGTCAATGCCCCCATGGGAGTACTGGCGCAGGGCCTGGAAAGGGTGGGAGCCATCAGAGAGGTTGAGGTCAGATGACATTCTCCCCATTGGGGTGGGGGTTGCAGGCTTTGCAGAGTGACAGGGGGACCTGGAGGAAGTCACTGTACCTTGCCAGCTGTACCAAGGAGTCGATGTCATGCACTAGTGACTGCTTCTGCTGGAAGATCTGCCCTGGGGATTTCCATTGTTTCGTGGCACCAAATAACTAAATTAATTAATTAATAAAAAAAGATAATCACGGCAGCTTTTTAAAATTATTATTGTTTGCGTGGTATATCTTTTTCTGTCCTTTCACCTCAAACTTACTTGTGTCTTCACATTTAAAGTGCTTTTCTTGCAGGCAGTTGCTATCGGGTACAGACATCTCACGCGGTCTGACGGTCCCTGCCTGCAGGCTGCAGAGTGCAGACCGTTCAGCTTTAATGTGACTGTCGTCATCTCACCGTTTGCTTCTGTTGGTCTCATCTCCTCCCTCCTCCCCCTCTTCTTCCTTCCTTTGCATTGAGGTGGGTTTTTTTCAGAGGCCGGTACAGGGATCGAACCCTGGACCTTGGTGTTATCAGCACCGCGGAGAGTGTTTTTTATGCTTCCCATTTTATCTCACTTGTTGGCCCATCAGCTATAACTTTCTGCTTTGCTACTTTGGAGGCTGCCTTGGGGCTTACGTTACGCGCTGTCACAGTGGACCTGCCAGTGACGTCTTAGCGCTTCCCCCATGGCAGGAGAGCCGGGAGCACGTCCCTCGCCTCTTGGCCTTTATGCTACTGATGTAATAAGTTTTACTGATAAACGTGCTACAAACTCCACGCTACATTGCTATTATTTTGGTTTAAGCCGTCGGTTACCTGTCAGACACATCCACACAGCAGGAACAAATGTCACTCGTCGGCTCTCGCGGTCGCCCTTCCCTCCCCGTGGAGAACCTCGTTTCACCTGGTGCGAGTCTCCTCCTGCCATGAGGTTTCTTCTGTTTCTTGCAGTGTGGCTTTGCTGGTGACAATTTCTCTCAGCTTTCATACATTTGAAAACGTCCTTGTTTCTCAGACCTCGTCCCCTTCCTCTCTCAGCAGCATTTGACGACACTGATCGCCACTTCCCTGGGGACCCCTTTCTCCACTGGGTTTCAGGAGCCACGTACTCCTCGTTTTTCTTTGTGCTCATGTGCCCCCAAAAAGTCAGAGTGGCTCGGGGCTGAGTGCTGGGACCCATCTCTACCCACACCACCTTCTGGGTGATGCCACCCAGTCCACAGCTTATGTGGTGACATCATTCACACACACGTCCCCTGCTCAGATCTCTAGCTGGGACCACTCCTCAAACACCTTAGACTCAGATCCCTGGTTCCTGCTCAACTTCCCCCCTGGGCATCTCAACTGTGATGTATCAAAAGTTAAGTTCCTGACCCGACCCCTCAGCTCTGAAGTCACCCATCAGCATATGGATCTACCTTCAAGGCACACAGTGACCCCATCCTCTGAGTGGTCACTGAAGTGACAATGGGGGCACCGGTGGCCTCTGGGCTCTAAGGAGGGGTGGGGTGGGGACACAGGGGCTTCCCAGAGCGGGTTTGTCCCTTTTAGTCCGTGTTTCCGCCTCCCTCCACACAGTCACTCAGTTGACGCGTTGGTGGACACCGTCTACAGAAAACCTGTCTACTGGAGATATGAGTGTCCCCTCAAAG